AAGGAGCTCCTGCTCATAAATCAAAGTTCAAGTCTTGTTATCTGTTGCATAGTTGCTTCCAAGAGAGGAAACTAAAATTTCCAAAGTTGATTAATTCAAATCTGTCTTAATTAACTTGTGTTTTCTAGCTTGAGAGATACCAGAGCAGGTAAGTCAACAAGTCAATGGTCTGCCATTTCTTTTAAGCTGACTTGAGCGTGTTTCACACTCCTAGTTATTTTTATTATTGAATTCTGATATCAAACTGTCTGGCCCAGTGTACCTTTCTGTTAAAATTTTCCAAACAGGCATCTTCCTAAGCTTAGACTGTCATAGATTTATAACTTCTTTTTATGCTAAACACATAAAAAGATAGGAATTAGAGGGTTCTTTCAATAATATTGTCCAAATAAGTAACTTTTTGTAGCACAATCATAGTCCAAATAATTACATTCACCCATAATTTCAACATAACCATTTCACACAATCATGTTGCATTACTTCTCTGAAAATAAGAGAGTAAATCACCTTGGGGGGTTGTTTTAAGTTTCAGTATGCTTCTTCACACTTCGAGGACTCAACTTCTTGATTCTGTCTTGCTGGTCCAATGATAATAACAAATAACAAATCAAAGTCTGCTTGTATGGTTTGCATCTTCTATTGTAAGAAGAGCTAACTGCAGCTTGCTATGAAACCAGATAGGACTACAATCTGAATTCTGATTTCTGTGTGCTAAATTATAATTTATGTGTGTTTTATTCTATCATTTTGGTGTTTTGCCTGTTTGATTCGAGCATTTAGTTTGTAAGGAATGAAGAACAAGCTAGCTGCAACAGAAATAAGACTGAAATCTGAATTCTGCAAGTTCAATGCTCTTATTCTTATCAACTTGTTTGGTTGATAGAATAGTTATTCCTTAATCAAATTATAAAAATGAGATAAATGAAATAGAAATCATGCTAGTAATTTTTTTTCTTTTTGAGGTTTTGGATTTAAGGGGCTCCTACTTCTAAGTAAAAATCAAAGGTCAGTCTTCTCTTCTCTGTTGCATTCTCAATAACTTTAATAGGATGCTTCCAAGAAACAAGATTTCCAAAGTTGGTTAATTGACTTGTGTTTCCACGAGGGACAAGAGTAGGTAATTAAGTTAACAAGTCAATGGTATACCACTTCTTTCACTTGAGCGTGTTCCAACTTCCACATACTCATTTTCTTGCATGTATTGTTGAATTGTGAAGGTCCACCTCACCTTTTTATTAAAAGTCGTCAAACTGGTATCTTCCTTTAATCTTCACCCCACCCAACTCTAAATTAATGCCTTCTCCTTATTATTTCTTTGATGTTCTCCGCACATATATGTAAGTAGAGCAGAATGGTTTTGAGAACTGAGCAGACACCACCACAAAAGATTAAGTTTACTTGACACAGTCTTCAGTTTGGTTGAGCTTCATCTTCATTTTATTCTTTTCACTTTCAAAAATGATGGTTTTGGGTATAGGGTCCTTCTAATTAATTATCACAGGATGTCTAGTAAAAAATCACATAAATTATTCTTCACAAACGACATTATTTGGCCAACGTACGTTTAGTCTCTATGGTTTTATTTTCTTTAAAAGAACCCCAAATAGTTAGTCTTCGTCTTGATGAGATTTTCATCTGTACCAATTGCATTACATGTTTAGTCTCAACCTTATCTTTGATGGAATTAGAAAAGGAACTTCACATTTTCAAATGAATCAAATATTTAAATTTACTAAAATACCTCTTAAAGTTAAACTATGTTACCCCTACTTTCTAAATACTAATAAGGATACTTCAGAGAAAAGCTAATATTAGATTAAGTCTTATGAAATGAACCTGCAACTTACATGAATTCTCTCACATTATTTCTCTCCTTCCATCAACGTTCGTTACCATGCTTGCACGCCATTCACTACACCAACAAAATGACATGAGGGTGATTCTAGCAAATGGAAAAGATGAGAAATTAAATAAATAAATAAATAAAAGACTATCTTAGCTTTAAATTTTTGTTTATGCTATACTTTAAAAAAAAAAAAAAAAAACTTAAAATTCTAGGTTGTGTCGAATCATAATTAAAATAATTAAATCTAGATTGTAGGGTGCATTGAATCATAGTCCAAATAATTTACCCAAGAGTTCAACATAACTATTTCACACAAATCATGTTGTTCATGCTGGTATCTTCCTTGAATCTTCTCCTTCTACCTACGGTAAATTGATATTTTTTGATGTGCCCTTCTGCAACCTTTAACATGTTTCGCGGAGGTTCTATATAAGTAACTAGAATGCTTTTGAGAACCCA